ATTAAAAATGGCTCAATAATTGTCTAGTATGAACAATTGTCAATTATAGGAAAAAATGGTGCTGAACAGAAACCAGATCCAGGGTTCAGACTGTGACACCTGGATGGATGTAGAACTGATCTGGTGTCAGTTTCTACCAGAACTCAGATGTATTCTTCCTCCTAAATGTCATGTGTCTATCTGCTGAACTGATGAAGTTCTGAGGCTCAGAAATGATGGAAAAAGTCCATTAAGGTGATAAATCTGGACCCTCCTCTATGGACTTCAAGGACCTGGAACTCTGGAATATTCACAGTCTGAAGGTAGAACTCTGGTCATTAGATAGAGGTGCTGCAGATACAGAACCAGATGTTCTGAGGAGGTTCTGGTGGAACCTTTGACCAGATTTAGTTGATTTTATATAGGTTGGCTGGATGGTAGATCCTCAGTAAACAGGTTCTCCACCGGCTGGGATGAGTCATTCCTCTATTACAGGACTAACTGTTAATTTCAGTGGAAGATCTTTATTGACCATTAAAAATGTAATCGTCCCATTATGTCTGCTGTGTTCACACAACACACACAAAAAAAAGATGAAAGCGCCTTAAAAATGCCCTGAAGCTTTGTGCCTTTAACCGGCAGGCTCTATCAGCTGGTTAATTAACGAGGGTGCTGCGGTTCCTGGTCGCATCACAAGTTTTTTTTTTTTTATAATTCCAGAAAAGAAATCCTCCATAATTCATCTCCAGAGTGGTTTGATGACGTTGGCTGGACTTGAAATCTCGATGGAAAGTGGCTTTCAACCACTCTGATTCCCGAAAGTACAAGACGCCTCCCTCACAAAGCGACACGCGTTCACAAACTTGTTCGCCATCGCTCCGTCGGTGTTTGATATTCCGACACCGTTTGGCTTTTCCCAAACTTTGTCCACCGCTGTACCTGCCAAACGGCCACAAAAACAAAAAAAAAGAATGACAGCGAAGGGCTGCCGGGGAACACGGCTCTCTCAGCGTTTCACAGCCAGGATGGGTGGAAAAAAAAAATTCAATTTAATGTATTCAGCGATGAAATATGAACAGGTGAATTAAATTATTCACAAGTTTTGCGCTGCGCTCTCTGATGATAACATTGTCCCTAGCAGGCCGGAGACTCGGAATACAAAAAGATGTTTCTGTGGAGCTGGCAATCGTCAGAGGAGCGCTGCTGTTTGTGTATGCACAAAGAACATCAAAGGCTCGTCTCACATTCTCAAATGGATGATCTTAATGTGACACCAGCGAGGCCTCAAAGGCAGAGCGGCAAAGAAACCCTCAGAATAGAAGCCGCTACCCCCCAACTTCTCCTCTTTGTCTTGCCTTCCATCTCTTTATCTCCTCTCCATCGTGGCTTTGTCTGTGCCACTCTCTTATCTCGTTCTCTTTCTTCCCCTTTTGTCGCTCGCTCTCCTTCTTCTTCTTCTTCTTCTCCTCCTCTTTCTTCCTCTCTCCTCCACATCCAGTCCTCTCTCCAGATCTCCGCTAATGGAAGCGAGGCCAATTCTGTTGTCGCTCTTAATGAGAAATGGCATGCAGTCGCCTCACCGCCACGGCGACGCAAATAACAAAACCCGGAGGTTAGATTTCACCACCGGTGACTTTGGATTGCTATTTTAGAGGCAGTCGATAGCTATTGATGAGCACGACGTGGAGGGGGAAAGGGGGCATGCATATTTGATAACGCGTCGTATATCGAGGTGAATTTTAAGCAGCAACACAATGTGGGTGGTTTGTGATAAAAGAGCCGAGCGTTTATGTGCATATGCAGTCGGAGGTGAGGTTGTAGTGCACAGATTGATAATCAAATGGGGGTTATTCACATTCAGAAAGGCTCCTTGAAGCGCTGCCACCAGAGAGAGACACAATATAAAGGGAACCACTCAGCGCCGAGGCTTCGGTTTCAATATTCTGAAGTTTAATGATCCGTGTCCGTCAGAAAAGTACATTATTTTTGTCTTTTTGTGTAGTTTTATTTACCTTCAGCACGTTTTATTTTCATTTTCTTGGTAGTGCGAAGCTATGTGAGCTAGCTGGAGGCTATCTGTTGGTAACCTCCAGCTAGAATTACAATATGAAGCGAAATGTGCAGAATCATTCTGAAGTTGAATGGT